AATCTTTTAGGAAAAGATTGGTTGGAGCTGTACTTACAAGCCATCCAGTTGATTCTTGCGAAGGGTCAAGTTCTTTTGGAAGAACATTGCTGATTCTGCTCCATCYTGCACTGCGCYATYTTYARTGGGAGCAGATTTTGGATCCTTCCTTGGGCGTGAACACCTTCATTGGGAGATACTGTTTCTCCGTATCAGGTACATCCTCCCTTCTACTCCTTTTGATTCAGATCTGATTTGGTTCATGGTTCAAGATTGATCCTTGAAAATATGTTTTATAAAATAGGGAATTCAATTCCCTGCAAAGATGGGAGAATTTTTTTTTGAAATTCGCCCAGTCCATTCCACAAGACTTTGACGTCCATGTGATGGATATCCCATCCCTTCAATAGGCTCAAGAACTGGGACACGTGGCCGCTTGCGGGTGAAGGCGAGAAGATCTCTCTCAGTCGAGGAAGTAGGAGTGTTATTTGAATCAAAGTCTTGCAAAACAGAGATAGAAGGAGAAGAAAATCTAGCAATTCCAACAAAGAAGGAAATATGTTCAAGAAACACAACATTCCGTGAAATCCGAATACGACGAATAGCAGGTTCATAACACAAGAATCCTTTGTGGTCAGGACTATATCCCACAAAGGCACACATAGCAGATTGAGCAGTTAATTTAGAACGTTCACGAACAAGAAGATGTACAAAACAAAGGCAACCAAAAACATGAAGATTGGAGAAACTTGGGGGATAACCAAAAAGTTTTTGGAAGGGAGAAGTGTTGCCGAGAACAGAGGAAGGAAGATAGTTGTTCAAATACACGGTTGTACTGGTTGCTTCTACCCAAAACGAAGTTGGAGTGTGGGATTCTTATAGTAATGTTCACACAACACTGAGGATATGTCCATTCTTCCGTTCAACTACACCATTCTGTTGTGGAGTGTCTGGGCAGCTGCGCTGAGATTGAATTCCATAACTCCTCAAGTAGGCCTGAAAGTCTCCGTCACTATATTCTCCCCCTGAATCTGAACGGAGTATACTCAAATTACACTTGAAGCGAGTTTGCACCATAGTATAGAATAATTTAAATGTGGCAAAGACTTTTGATTTGTGCCATAAAAAATAAATCCAAGTGTATTTGGTACAATCATCTATAAACAATACAGAGTACTTGTATCCCAACCGTGAAATAATAGAAGCAGACCAAACATCACTATGTATTATCTGAAAATGTTTAGTGGCATGTTCAAAGGTGTGAAGAAAAGGTAAAACATGACTTTTACTCAAACAACAAGCAGTGCAAGAAACATCAAAAGTATGAACAAGAGGAATTTTATTCTTAATTAAACCAGAGTCAAACAAAAATTTCAATTTTTGAGAATATGGATGACCCAATCGTTTATGCCATAAATCCCAAACATTATTTCTATTACTCAATAGAGAATCAGACATAGAAGAACTAAGAAAAGCCGAGGATGCTCCTGATTGAGACTTCTCAAACTCCAGCGCAAATAGACGGCCTAGCCTACGCCCCTTCCCTTTCACCTTCCTAGTGTATAGGTCTTGTATCAAGCAACCATCATGAGAAAAAGGTGAGAACATTTCCTTCATCAACAAGTTGACCAACAGAAATCAGATTAGTAGTAAGGTTGGGTACTAAGAAGGTTTTGGAGAGAGGGAAGGATCTAGTGGGTGACAATTTAAGGGATAAGTCATTACTACCAATAATGTCTAATTTTTCACCATTGGCAATAATAATGTGTTTGTGGTGAGTCTCAGTAGATGGATTTGGGTGATTGAGGTAGGCTCCTGTCATATGATTGGTGGCACCTGAATCTATAATCCAAGCATGTGAAGGGGAAGAACAATATGCAGAGGACTTACCAGACAACTCAATAGCAGAGAAAGCAGAGGATACCAATTGCCGAACCTTTTCTTCATCCATAGCACGAGTTGAATCACTTTTAATCGAATAATTACCCTTGGTGGACACAGTGTTAGTTGCCTATTCATCTGTTACCTGATAGGCCCGCGGTTGAGTCTTTTTTTGAGAACCCTTAGCTGGTTGGATTGGACAATCTGGAATGA